TCCAGTGACACAGACTGGTGTCCAGTGGCCTTACTGGAGTGGGCAAAGTGCTGGTTTGTGTCTTTTCCTTCTCATTTTTATTTTGGTTTTCTTTTCTCTGGCAAGTGGAGGAGCTGCTCTCCCAGGGTCAAACTTGAGGGACTTAGAGGGGAAAAGCTCCCTGGAATTCTGTGCTTTGGCTATGTGAGAGGAGTTTCTTGTTGGCTTTTCCTTCCTGGCCACACCAAAGATGGGTTCAAATGAAGGAGAGTGGGTTTGGATGGGATACTGGAAAGGAATTCCTGGCTGTGAGGGTGGGCAGGCCCTGGCACAGGGTGCCCAGAGAAGCTGTGGCTGCCCCTGGATCCCTTTGAGTGCCCAAGACCAGGCTGGACATTGGGGCTGGGAGCAGCCTGGACAGTGGATTGAGATGAGCTTTGAGGTCCCTTCCAGCTCAAACCATCCTGAATCTCTGAACAATCCCAGTCCCTCCCAGAAGGTTTGCTGGTGTTCCCCTTGTCCCTGAAACATGACTCCCATGGTGGCTGCTGGAGCCTCCTGTCCCCATCCCAAGCCCCAGTGATGGCAGGGATGGCCTGATCTGTGATCCCACTAAAACACCAGTGGCTCTTCATCTGGAAGGCTCTGATGCAGTTCCCCATCAGGTGACATYTTGTGCACTGTCGGGATGCATTGAGCACCCTGGCTGTGGGATAAGCTCACAAATCCTTCCCCCCCAAAAAGCCAGGAAATGGTTCATTCCCCACCTGTGGCTGGAGGAAGGGATGGGCTGATCACTGCAGGTCCTTGCTGTCCCATGGGAAGCCACCACAGGCCCTTCTGGAGYGGCTCCACTCCTCCWGGACCTGCTTGGGATGGACAGGGGKKATACAGGGACCTCACATCCATGAACTGGATGAGGAGGCTGCAGAGATGTCCATGGATCTGAGGGGCCTGCAGAGCTTCTGTGTCCATGGATCTGAGGGGCCTGCAGGGACCCCATGTCCACGGATCTGACCGAGGGGGCTGCAGAGCTGCTGTGTCCATGGGGTTTTTTTCAGTTTTCCCTCAGAGTTTGCCCCCTCAGCAGGCTCGGCTCCAACAGCCAGCAGAGCAGAGGCTTTGTTGGTCTCCTGTTGAGGCTCATCCCAAAAAGAKGATCCAGCAGCTGGAATGCCCCTGCAGGCTTGGGATGACCTGGGAAGGAGCTGGGCTGGAGGATGCAGGAGCTCCTCAAGGTGGTTCTTCCAGTGATAGGAACAGAGCTTTGAACCCCAAACGCCCAGGGATTTCTTGATTCAGCATCTTCTGGTGCTCCCATGGACATGTGGAGCCCTTGGATCTCCAGGGATGGCAGCTCTCAGCATTCCCAGCTCAGGAATGTTGACATCCATCCTCTCAGTGCTGTGGGGYTCCATGTCTGTCCTGGCCTTGCAAGGAAGATCCTTCCTTTCGGTGCAATCCCAGGTCATGAACACCTCAAAAATGGGAAAATTCATTTGGTTTTCCAAAATTTAATTTTGTGTGAGAGAGAGAAAGCCGTGCTGGTTTTGAGGCTGTGCTGGTCTAGGTGACAATCCCAATGTGTGCATGTGGCCCCAAACTGGGAGGGGAGAGGAGCTGGTTGGCAACCACCTGGTGGGCAACCACCAATCCATGGTGGGCAACAACCAACTTATGGTGGGCAACCACCAACCCACATTATGGTGGGCAACCACCAATTCATGGCAGGCAACCACCAACCCATGGTGGGCAACCATCATCCCCTGGTGAGCAACCACCAATTCCTTCCATGCCATGGGGTGTGGGGTGGGAGGGGACACTGGTGGTGGGGCGGCTCTGGAGGCCCTGGGGAGGTCTGGGGATGCTCTGGGAGGTGGTGCCCCCTTGGCCAGGGGTATCTGGGGGCTCTTTGGGGTGGTTGTGTCCCGGGGGAGGACACCCCTCTAACCCAGCCGTGTGTGCCCACAGCTGCACCCCATGAGGATGGACCAGCGGATGCCCCCACTCATCCTGGAGGTGAGTGCTTCCCTCATTCCCTCCCCTGCGTCCTTCTGCTCCCATTGGGAAGGGGAAACACAGAGGTGCCCAAGGGATTGAGCTGGGACATTCCCCACTCCCYATTCCCWCTCCATTCCCTCCTTCCATCCCCGCTTCCAGCCAGGACACATCCCTTCATCTCTGCCAGTCCTGTGTGCCAGTGTGGCACTGTCACCTCCATGGCCTGTGTGTGTCCGTGGACTGGATCCTGGCGGGTGTGACAGGAGCCAGGAGTGAGCACCAGGGACCCTGGGGGTCTGGAGTGGCACTTGGTCACCCCGCTTGTACTGACCCCGAGCTGAGGACTTTGTAGGATCATGGGATTGTTTTATTTGGAAAAGCCCTCCAGGACCATGGGATTCAACCATCCCCAGCACTGCCAAGGCCACCATGTGTCCCCTCCCATGTCCCCAAGTGTCACATCCACGTGGCTGTTAAATCCCCGAAGGCATARGGACTCCAGCCAGGGCTGGACAACCTTTTTTKGAGGAATTTTCCCAATATCCCCCCTGKCCCAGCYKRRGSCSKTYCCYYYYCYYCYKKYCCYKKTYCCYKG